TTTAGAATCTTCTCATTTTGCCTTGTAGATCCTTTTTCTGTCCTGAGAGCAATATTGCTTAGCTCTTAGCCACACGGTGAATTGTTGGTTAATTTCAAAGTAACCTAGAAAGTAGTGGCTGTATCTAATAAGAAGTAAAATATTTTACCTACTTTTTAATTTTTTAAGCTATGACTTTTTTTGCTGGAGTTTTTTTTCCCTTTACCACCATAATTTGCATTAATGATAATTTAAACTTTCTTTTAGTTTGACCGAGTATAAGTCTTTTTCCTTTTTCCCTTTGGTATTCTATTTGCAAAACAGTAAAGCAAATTTTAGAGACTAGGGTAACTAGTTCTATTTAATGAATCACTTTATTAAAACTCTTAACATCCGTCTTATAATAGCCCAACTCACAATTCATATTTTTAATACTACATTCCTTCCTTGCACGCCCCCCTTAGAAAGTAGAAGGTTTTTCCAAAGTTTTATATTTTTAAATCACCAAATTTTTATCTTTTCTGCAGATAATATCACCTACTGCATTATTTTTGGCTGCAAAAGTGGAAGAACAGGCTCGAAAGCTTGAACATGTTATCAAAGTAGCACATGCTTGTCTTCATCCCCTAGAGCCACTGCTGGATACTAAATGTGATGTATGTAAAAATAATTCATTTGGTGTTGCCTTCCAACTGCTGCTTGTTTCTTTTACCACTTAGGAATGTAATACGAGGCAGTGATATAACAGAAGCATATTTCATGTTTATACACACATTTCAGTATCATTCTGAATCATGTTAAGGCTGTGATTCAATGGTAGTGTTTAAGTGTTTCACATTTTATTGCTTATCTTCACAGCAAAGCTATGATATATGTAGAGGTGATATGATATCACCTCCATTGTTTGGGTGCATTTGAGACCAGGGATAAATAACAAATTGTCAGCAGCGATAAAAAAAAGAAAGAAAGAAAAAGCTCTGGTTATGCCTGTAGGCCAGTAATAGTAATTTTACAGAATTGTTCCTTTATTAATGCATATATACTAATAGTTATCTCTCTCACACGTAAAAATGCATTTTACTATGCTTTATGAGGTTTTTTTTAATGTTAATTTTCCTAAAGATTAATGCTAGTTTCTAAACAGCTTGTTCATCGTCAACATTTTAACAGACCTCATTTGAAAGCATCATTTTAAAATGTTAGGACATTGTAAGGGGTGTCCAGATGGCTCAGTCAGTAGAGAATGAGACTCTTAAAATGTTAGGACATCTTAAAACAAAAGCTAGAATTCTAGGCCTTTAAATTCATATTCCCAACACTCATGAGTGAGTTCCTTTACCAGTAATATTCAACTACTGAATGACTACCAGATTACATCAGTTCACTTTCATTTAGTTCAAGATTAATATCCAAATGAGGTATATCTGATCTTATTAATGACAAGTTTTATCTGAGATAATGGCTTTTAATAAGGAGTAAGATACTGACGTTAGCCATTTAATAATAGAGAATGTATGATTATGCAAAGATTGTTCTTATAATTTCTATTAACATGATAAATTCAGAATTATCTTTAATACTTGGGGTATTGTTCAAATGATAGAAATCTGTTTTAAAATTCATCTTAGAGTCCTTTTCAAAATGGGGCATAAATAAAGGTGCTTTTCACTCTTGAGTTTAGCAACATGTCCTTACATGAATACTTATATATGATGTATTTTTTTTTTTTTTTATCACTTTGGTTGTTACAGTTTAAGAAATTTGATAGTGGTAGAAGTTTTTTCATACTGTCTATTCCCAGAGCAGTTGCGGTAGGAGAATGGCTCATTGAAGTTGAAAGAGAAGGCCCTCTGTTTCCCCATGGGTGTATGATATGTCAGTTTGGTACTTTATATCTACAATGTTTTAATCTAGAGATGTGAGGATTTGCCTTGATTTTATTTTATCTTTTTTTAAAAAAATTTTAACATTTTTATTTATTATTGAGTTACAGAGCATGAGCATGGGAGGGGCAGGGAGAAGGGGAGACACAGAATCTGAAGGAGCCCCCAGCCTCTGAGCTGTCAGCATAGAGCCTGACGTGGAACTCGAACTCATAAACCACAAGATTATAACCTGAGCCGAAGTCAGATGCTTAACCAACTGAGCCACCCAGGCACCCCTTATTTTGTCTTTTCTAAAGAGAGGAAATTCCAAAAAATAACTCACTGACTTAACTCTGACTATTAAGGAATTTCCACATGAGGTATCTTACATTGAATTGATTACGCCTTTTCTTTACAGGCAGGTTTGAATTTGATGTTCTTACTTAAGTTGGTGCTTCCTGTGGTGAAGTGTCTTGAAGCATCACTGCCTGTGTCAAGTTTTAAGTTACAGGCTGGAGCATTTGTTGTTTTCAGTGAAGCTCTGCCTCCTTTCATGTTTTCACTGTCTTGAGGGATTTTGTTGCTGTTGTTTACCTTGTTTACATATTCTGTGTTAGAAGTAATTCACCCTTAATTTATTTTCTTCATGTTTCCAAGCTACTCTGTTTCTTCTGTAATAAGTCTGTGATTTTCATAAGACTTAGCGGTCCCATAGTCTCATAGTGTTGATCTTAAGCATTTTAATGGTATTATTTTTACCTGGCAGGCTTACCTTCAACAGACTCAAGAACTGGTTTTACTTGAAACCATAATGCTACAAACCCTAGGTATGTACCTATGTCAAATACTATATTGTTTGCTTCAGTGTGGTGTTAAAAGAAAGAAAAAAATTTTCTGGAATAATTTTATCATTGAAGACAGTTTCATTTTAAAACAAGATTTAGGGCCAGAAGAGTATTACCTGGTTATAAAAAAACATTTTTAAAAATTTATTTGGCATGGTAAACATGGTTTTCATTGTGAAAGGCTGTTGCATATGATTGTAATGTGCACAAGTATTTATGGCAGTCTTTACTATCATAGCACTTATCGTCCGTTTTTAATGAATTTATCACATCGTTTTTAATGTGATGTAGTGTAGTTAAACGTTCACCATCACCTTCGAAAAGTTATATTGTCTTCAAGTTTCATGCAGTTTAAATGATCTCTGAAGATTATTTATTCTAATCTTTAACTTTAGTGATGAGGAAATTGAGGCCGAAGAAAGTTTATAATGTTTGAAGTCATATATTACTTCTGAAAGAGCTTAGCAGAATGTGACGGAATCACACGGGCTTTACGGAGATCTTGGTTTAAATCTATAGACCTTCAACTTGCTTTGTAAACTTGGGCAAAGTTCTTTGGCCTTTCATACCTCTGTTCTATGTATGCAAGATGGAGTAATAATGTCTGCCTTAACACTGTGAACTTAAGGGTGAAAGATAATATATAAAATATATGTACACACATAGTGTATGTGTCATAAATAGCCATTATTTGTTGTGGTAGTTATTTTATTTATTACTCCATTCCCAGTCATTGAAAAGAAGTACAATAATCACCCATCATGACAGGTTCTTTTTATTAAAAAAGTAGCTTACTTGAAATAGATACAACTTATTTGATGATGTGATAGTATAAAAAGATATAAGTGAGAATCTTATTCTCTCCAAATCCAATGACTTAGCATGTTATTGTTTTTTGAAATTTATAAAGACTTCTGTAATAAAGGTTGAAAGGAAAATTGTTTTAAGGGGAAATTATATTTATATTTAAGGGGAACATTAGAATTGACAGTATACATCTCTGGCTTTGATTAAGTATGGTTGGTTTTGCAGGCTTAATTACAGTAGAAATAAAAATAGATCACACAACAACTTTATAAATCTAGATTACCTGTGTATTAGGATGTTATTTGTTTACTGCTTCTGAAGACATTAGATGTGACATCCACTTTTTAAAAAAATTTTTTTAATCTTTATTTATTTTTGAGAGAGAGACCATATGAACAGGGGAGGAGCAGAGAGAGAGTGAGACACAGAATCGGAAGCAGGTTCCAGGCTCTGAGCTGTCAACACAGAGCCCAACGCAGGGCTTGAATTCAATAATGAACCATGCAAGATCATGACCTGAGCCAGTCAGACGCTCAACCGACTCAGCCACCCAGGCATCCCAATGACCTCCACTTTAAAAACAAAAACAAAAACCTCTTCTTACCTAAGGGTTGAGTAGACATTGAAAGCTCTTTCAGCATTTTATCTTTGATTTTAGAAAAAGTGATTTAAAGAATCTTGATGCTACAGGGCTTAAATGTCTTAATAATTTTATTATTAATGAACTGTAGTTAAAAACTAACTGGTTGAAACCCTTTGATTTAAGACATACTAAGAAAATAAGAGGACTCTAAATCATTGAAATGGTCTTTTCTCCCACGGTGGGGTAGAGATTATATTTATGAAAAATAGTTTTTTTTTTTTACATCTTATGAGAGAAAGAGTTGGAATACATTTTAAAAATATATTACCTGGACACCTGGGTGGTTCAGTCAGTTGATCATCCACGTCTTGATTTTAGCTCACATCATGAACCCTGTGTCAGGCTCTGCCCTGGGCATGGAACCTGCTTAAGATTCTCTGTGTCTCCCCCATGCACACACGTGTGCTTTCTCAAATAAAACCTATATGTATATATACTACATAATTGAATTATTTGCTTAATAGTTGTATTTTTCATATATTTTGGTTTGTTTTTAACCTGAGGTAATTGTACCTAATTTTAAATCACAATTTTTAATAAATATTGCCGTAATCTGTAAATAACTTTGCTATCAGTTTTCATAAGTGGAACATTGTTTTTGAGAAGAAATTATTTCTCATCGTTGATGGTTAATGAGCATGTCAGTGATAGAAAATAACTTTGTCTTTGGATCTTTTTAATAATGAACAATATAGTATACATTTGTGGTTGTGTTGATGAATGGCATTTTTCGGTCAAGTATTATAGTGTGGTAAGTGATTGGGAAAAAAGTGCTTTTCATTTCAGGTTTTGAGATCACCATTGAACATCCACACACAGATGTGGTGAAATGTACCCAGTTAGTAAGAGGTAAGTGATCTTTGAAATTTTTGAATTAAGTATTAATATTTTTTATTGTCTATAATTGACTTGAATGAGTTTTATTAAAATGGGGGAAATATCGTTTTGAAGCAATATCTTTTGTTGTTCTTCATCTACCTGTTCATCTACTTCTATATGTGGTTCTACCTGGTGAATTAGCTTCCTTTAAACTTATGTGAGAATCACCTTTCGCTAAAAAATTAGGAGGGCTTCCAAATAATAGGACTCTCTCCAACTCCTTAGTAGGCTCATAAGCCAATTCCCATTTTAGTTAATATTTAGGAAGTTGACTATTAACATACACGCAGAAAATTTCTGTTCTCTGTCAGACTTTAATTGACCTCTAGGAAAATTATTATAGTTGAAGAATTTGGAGGCCATCCTCATGTCTTTGATATAAAAATTGTCTTAGCAGATTTGCCACTTTGGAAATGTTTTCCCTATATTCATTTGAAAAAAAAAAACCTGATATATTTTTCAAAGTTCTTTAGCATTCCTATAAATAATTTTCCTTTTTGTGTGTAATGGGGATCTGTATATAGTAGGATACAGGCAGCATGTGATGTGCGCATCAAGCCTTTTAAAACAGGAGTAGGAACTTTTTTTATTATTTGCTTTACTGCTTATAAAGCATGTGGTACACACTTTTCTACTCTTGTTAATATCTGTTCATGTATCCCTAGAAATATTTTTTCACACTGTTGCATGTTGTTGCACTACTTCTTTCCTGTTTGCCATTTGAAGTGTTAATGTACTAAGAGCAACCCCTTGGAACCTTCAGTGTGCCTTTTTCTGTTAACTTCATTTTTGAAAATTAAATTTTGCAGTTTCATTTTTTTACCGCCAGACTTCTTTTCTTTAGGTTTATTCTAAACAGAATGGGTAAGACTTTTGAAGGCCTTTTTTGATTTTTAGTGTTTACCTGAATAATCTCACATTTTAGTCATTCTAAATTGAATTCATATACTTAGGTAGGATTTTATTATGTTAATGGCTCTATTTAAAACAAACCTCTTGTCACAGAGTCATTGTTCAGAAGTGGACTTCTCAAAGAAAGTACCATGTTTATTTACGTATTTTTTTGGTCCTTAGTAATAGCTAGCACCTGTTACAACTTGGAAAGTAGAACATTATGGTTCCTGTTCTTTTGGTTATCTGAGTATGATTGATAGTACATTTTCACCCCCAGAATTACAGTATAGTATAGAATTTCTATAGATAACTAGTGTACATATTGAATTAAGAAAAAAAAAAGCCTTGGAGTAAGCTGTTTCTGTTAGAATAGTGGAGAGCCATATAACTTTGCTCTAAACTAAGCCTGATGAAGAAAGACATATTTATAGCTTAAAATACATGCGCGCGCACACACACACTGAGTAGAAAATGAAACTGGATTTTCAGCTTGGTAGTGACATTTAAGTCATTTTTAAGATCCTTAAAGTCTCGTAGTTTTTATATATGTTCCCCTTTATCTAAAGCTAGAGACATGCAAGTCCATTCATTTACAAAGTTGAATAGTAAAACTTTTTAAAACACTCACAAAAACTGCAAATTTGATATTTTGTCCAAAACAGTGTTTAAATCTAATTTTTTGTTGTCATTAATGTTTCGAATGTGATCAATTCCTAAATTGTAGTGCAAATTTTATATATGTTTAACTTCATTTTGTCTGACTAACATTTCAGGTAACTACAGTTTACATCTCACTCCATTTAAAAACATTGTTTCATGTTTGGTGTCTGTTTTCTTTTCTGTGTTACAACTTTCTGCTAACAAAAGAACATTTTTCCTGCATTCTTCCTGTGTTTCACACTGTTAATAGGTGTATTCTGAGATGAATTTAGGTATATTCTGAGGTGAAAACTGCTATGGCAATTTAAAAGTATTTTTACTTCCCTCTCTACATATTTTGATTCTTTATGGGGATGGGTGGGGGCGGTAGATGGTTTGGTTTCTTTAAAGTTCTCCCCACCACCCCCACCCCAAGATGAGAAAGTTGATATTATGCTACTTTGCTGCAGAATTGGCTAATGTCATTTTACAGGGACCTTTCATTTCTGTGATTTCTCCTTCCCTCCCCACCAGGAAAGAATGCCATACATAAGTCACACTGCCTCCAAGACATCTGATGCTTTGACACTCTTCCTTAGCACAACTCTGCTAAGCCCAAATCCCTTTTGTATACCTTATGTTGGTGATCCACATGGGGCAGCAGGGATTACAAGTGCCACGAATAAAAATAGAGGGCAAAGAATTTGAGGCCTGTTAGAGAGGGGTGAGTTGAGGTGAACTGATCCTAGGTGAGCAGAGGGGAAAGGGACATCAATGATAATGAATGTAATTGGGGGGAAAGGGAAATAATAGCAAAAGAATCCCCACTGGGAAGAATAAGAAAGCAGAAAAAAAGTGAACGGGGTACTACTATTATCAATTTCAATGACTTAAACTAGTTGTTAAAAATTGATTTTCTTTTGGGGACCAGTGCTGAAGCATCCTGATTGCCTAGAGTATGTGCATCTTTTCTAAAGTTGACAATTGGATTCTGTAAGAAATATATATGCAGTGGAGTTCTCTATGTCTACGCCCTTAGGATGTTTCTAGGTTGTTTATTCTCTGTTGATGCTTAGTAGCATGAAAAACAGCAGTGTGTGCTCTCTTGAGTTTGGGGGTGGGGGTTTGTTTTGTTTTCTTTGGATGGAAGTACTTAAGCCAACTTAAATATGATGACTGAGGATTAAGTCTGGCAGGCAACTCTGTATTTTGTACTAGACTTCAAAATCTTTTCTTCTTCTTCTTCTTCTTTTTTTTTTTAAATCCAGGAGAATGCTTTATTGCAACTTTTAGCTGACTAGATGCTTAACTTAGTAACAAGTTTAGCCCTTGTAACTGGCTAGCTAAAAGCAAATCGGCTTGTTTCTCAGATCTTTGGGGGATAGCAAGAAACATTTGAGTGAATGTTGTTGAAGATTTTCAGTAGTATAGAAAATGATGGCGCTCTTGTGATATTTGTAAGTAGTAAGTAAAATTTACTTTTTGTGTACAAAACTTTGAAGTTTTTGTTGTGTTGAGAACTTTTTGATGATAGCACATTAAAGCTGACAGTATTGTCTTCGTTTTTTTTTTTTCTTTTCTTACAGCAAGCAAGGATTTGGCACAGACATCCTATTTCATGGCTACCAACAGGTTGTTATCCTGACCCTCTTTGTTGCACTGTTGTAGCACACTATAGCTTCCTTTAATGCAGGGCCCCCTCAATGTGTCTCTTACCCTTGTTGCAACAGGAGACTGGACCATCTACTGTGGTGGTACCTTCCTGTTTGCTTTGCGGTGTATTGTACAAGGGACTTTTGGCACAGAGGGGTTAAATGCACATTGTGAAGTGTAGTGGTGCTTTCTGATGACATATTCTCGATTTGTGAGTGCATAAGTCTAAAATTGGTAGCCTGAATAGCAGCTAAAGATTACAAAGAGCTAAACTTAACGTAGAAATTCGAGCAACTTGGTAAGTATAAAGCTATTTCTAGTTTACAATTATAGTTAAATGACAATTTTTTAAAATTTCACATTGATCCAATTTTAATTTTAAAATAATCATTAAAGTTTTTTAAATAAATAAAATTTATATAACTTGGGTTTTTTTTCCAGATAATACCCCCAGTAGTAAATCAGAATTAGCCAAGTCCTGTCAGTGCCTAGGTTTGCAGAAATACAATTTTTACTTTAAGAAAACTTAACTTCCTTTTCAGTTTACATAAAAAATGGTGTGTGTTTGCAGTTGATAAACATTTTCATCTTCATCAATTATGAACTGAACTGGAAGAATAATTTTTTAAAGCCTTTAATATCTAATACATAATTCTGTTTTGGATTGATTATGTGAATGCCTTAAATTGTCTTTTAAATGGGTCATTGGGGAGGAGGGGACCAAACTAGCATTGTGTGGTCCTTAATTTCTGTGACACTGTTAACTTTTATTTAAAACTTTAGATTGGCAAATACCAGTATATTTTCTTAGATATATGTTGTTGGGGTTTAACTCCCATCCCTAGGAGTTTTGAACAACAAAAAGAAAGTACTAAATTTAAAACTTTGGTTAGGAAAGGCAACATGTTATCACATGCCCAATTTGGAACATTAAAGTGGAAGGAGAAAAGTAGCATTTTTATAGTACTTAGCAGCATTGGGCCTTGAAGCTGTTCAGCAAAAGGTAAGTTTTCTCTGTGGCTTTGCTGAAAAGACAAAGGTTTACATAGATAAGTGTTAGATTCTCTTTAACTTACTTGAGAGGTAGGATCCCTGATTCTGACCTCATTCTATAATGTGATATTGAAATGACTTTGTCAGTTTTATAGAGAATATTCTGGTTTTTCTTTACATTTTTGCCATGACATTACAAAAGAAACAAAAATATCACAAAAAAATTAAAATGTTACACTTGTTTATGCTGATTATTGGAAATATACGTCTTCCCCTCCTTTTACAAAGAAGTAAAATACTTCAAAATTTAGAAATATTAATATGAGTACTGATAGAATATTAATATAATGCTATGGGGAGTGAGAATGTGGAGAATGTTCATAATCTAGTATTAGAATTTTATAACTATAGTGTTAGCTTTTAATTTAAAAATAAGGTTTTATACTCTAGACTTGAAGAAAACCTTTATAATTAAGTTTATGCTCTAATCTTACTGGTGAATGTTTTTCTTTGTTTTACATATTTGAATTACTATGGTTCTTCATTTTCAAACCTGCTCCACAACAGTCTACACCTTACTACCTTCTGTCTTCAGTACAAACCAACAGTGATAGCATGTGTATGTATTCATTTGGCTTGCAAATGGTCCAATTGGGAGATTCCTGTGTCAACTGATGGAAAACATTGGTGGGAATATGTCGATCCTACAGTTACTCTAGAATTACTAGATGGTAAGTAGAGAAAAATAAATCTTTTTTTATGTTGAAAACATTTTTTTATTATGGAAAATTCTACCTACTTTTGTTTAGGTTTGAAAAATAGTGACAATCTCTGTAGACTCATACATATATGAACACTTATGATTCTGGCCAATCCAGCATCTCTCCCTCCCCCTGTGGTTATTTTGATATTAACCCCAGATATCTCTTTAACTATTAATATTTGTTTATATTTCAAAAGATTCCTCAAAAACATAACTATAATTTCATTTTAACAATTTGGTAATAGAACTTAAAAGTATAATTTACACAATCAAATGAACAGGATGAAAATAAGGCTTTTGTTAGCCTAAAGAAAAACAACTAAAAAGTAAGAGCTTGAACATATTTTAACCACCAGTGAATATTGCCCGTTCAGGACTTTTCAAAAATCAGTATGATTTATAATGAATGCTATAGGTTGGCAATACAAGAATCTCAGAGTTGGGTATAATTAATTATAGATGTGAAGCAATGAACTGAAGGAATTTTCAGGGTAACATTCCTTGTTCTGTAGTTCCACTAATAGTGAAGTGTGTCATTGTTGCCTTGTGTTATTAAATATGGTTTGACAAAATCAGGGCTACAGATTCTATAAACTATGAACCTGGAATTGAGTCTTCTGATAAGACATTTCTCCAGTAAGAAATAAGCTGAGTAGAGTCAGGAGAGATTCTTGGGGATTAAGACTTTTTAGCCAAGTACTGTGGATTTCAGAAAGGAAATAGATTATGCTTCTTGCCTTAAAGATATACTGTTAGGTTTTCGCCTTATTCTTTTTGTAGCTTTCTCCAACTTCTGTTGCAAAATTGAAGCTCATGGGAAAACAATTTATATCTATTCCTATTGAGGACATCTGTTATAGAGACTCCTTTGGGTTTCAAATGTGATCTTCCAATAAAATCTCAACATGTTCTGTAAGCTAGATGTTTGCTTTCTGTGACGAGCCAAATAGTAATAACTCTTTTAGCATTTATGGACTCTTTATGCCATGTACACAGCTCTGCCACTGTAGCTGGAAAGCAACTATAGGCAGTCTGTAAATGAATGGATATGGCTGGTGATCCAGTAAAACTTAATTTACAAACATGGAGGTATAGGTCATAATTGTGATAGTTTGCCTTCCTTTCTGGTAAAACATGCCTCCTTTTTAGGTCTCTTGATTTTCATATTTTGTTTTTCCTCCCTGAAAAATTTCTCCCAGTGTATGCATCTCATGCTGTATTAGTGCCACATGATTATGCTCTTTTCCTTACATTGCTGGAGTTTAAAGTTTGCAAGAGAAGAAGGAAGTCTTCAGTGAGTTGGAATGGCATCGTCTAAAAACCAGTGGGGGCTTTTTTTTTTTTTTCATCTGTGACTTGAAAATTAGGTTATCTATGCTACCATCTTACTTTGGCAGTTAACAGATAAGAAAAAGTAGACATCATCTGAATAAATATAGTTTATATACATGGTCCTAAAATAAGGTCACAAAAGCAAGTAATTTGCCTTTTGTACTGCTCCTAAATTACAGTTAAAATTGGTTTTTTGACATGACAGGGCCCACCTAAATACCCCTCTGCTTCTGTTGTGAAAAGGTTCAAGTTTATTGAATTGGAGAGCCACTGAATATAAATCTTGGACATTAAGACATTGACAGTTTCAATTATTACATAGCAGTCTTTCTCTGTATTTTGTTCACAAGAAAGAAAAAAGTAGCAAAGTTTAAGATAATAAGATGTTTTAGTCTGAATGTTAGTCTGGTGTCTAAGCATAAGTGTTCACTGAAATAATTCGTGTAATGACTCTTCCAAAAACAGCATTGGCTTGGACTTGGCCTGCCTATAATATTTTTTGTTGTTGTTTTGCAGGGTTTGTTTTTGTTTTATGACTTATAACAAATCCTCATGTGTTTTTTTGTATTTAATATTTTTATGTATATTTAGCCTTGAGGGAAAAAGGCTCTATTTTAAGGACCATCCTGTGATTTTTTTATACGTAACTATTATATTGGCAGTGATTAGTTGACAGATTCTTTTGAATGTCCATTATAAAATTTAATAAGAAAGTTAAGAAACAAACCTTATTTTGTACCTGTTATGTAGGGAGGTTTGAGGCCAGACACTTGTTTTTAATTTTTTTAAGTTTTTATTTATTTATTTTCAGAGAAAGCATGCACGAGCAGGGGAGGGGCTGAGAGAGAGAGGGAGAGAGTGAATCCCATGATAACAGGATTCTCACTAGCAGCACAGACCCCTATGCAGGGCTCTATCCCATGAACCATAAGATCATGACCTGAGCCAAAACCAAGAGTTGGACACTTAATGGACTGAGTCATCCAGGCATCCCTGGACCAGAAACTTGATGTGCACTTAATCTTTGACAGCCAAGCTGTTAGGGAAATTGAATCAAAACCTTGTTTGGGGCGCCTGGGTGGTTCAGTCAGTTAAGCGTCCGACTTCAGCTCAGGTCACGATCTCACGGTTCGTGGGTTCGAGCCATGCGTCGGGCTCTGTGCTGACAGCTAGCTCAGAGCCTGGAGCCTGCTTCAGATTCTGTGTCTCCCTCTTTCTCTCTGACCCTCCCCTGCTCACACTGCCTGCCTCCCTCCCTCTCTCTCTCTCTCTCTCTCTCTCGGAAATTTTTAAAAACTTAAAGAAAAATTTTTTTAAAACCAATTTTTTGTTAATTTTGAACCCAAAATTGTTATGTATCTGCTAGATTTACAATTAGCAAGGTGGTTTGTTTGTTTGTAATTAAAGAGTAGTGGTCCAGGCATTAGATTGCTTTCATTCAAACTGGATCAAAAAGTTCATGAATCTTGAGCAGGTTTTAGTTGTCACAGCTTATAGACATAAAATAAGTGCTGAGTTTTTGCATACTTTTTACTTTAAGATAAATGCTGTGTGGTCTTAATTTTCATTATTGCTTAATTTTTATTGCCTAGAATAGTTTACAGAGAAGCTTACTATGTATACAAAAAAAATAAATGAATCTGTGTAGTCTCTATTGAATTGACCTTATTAATATTATGTGATATTGTAATTCATTTGACTGGTATTAATATTTGTCTTGAGTGGTCAATAGCCTAGTTAATGCCACTATCTGAGGGTAGAAAAGTATAATTCATCATAACTACACTCACTTTGGAAGTGAGTCATTTCACAGTCATTAAGTCTGTAATCCTAAATTTAAGGAAAAGATGAGGTAAAAATCAATGACCCAAGGTAGTTTAATATGTTAATAGTAATGATTGCTAGGAGACTATGAATATATTCATTTAACTTTGAAATAATTTTAAACAAGCTACAAAATCGTACAGTTTCTATATACCCTTTACCTGATTTCTCTTCTTTTTTCCTTTTTTTTCCTTTTTTTTTTCCTTTTTTTTACCTGATTTCTCTAACATTAACTTATAATAATACATGTTATCAAAACCAAATAATTAACATTGGTACAATACTAGTAACTAAATGATGTTTTATTTGAATCCCTCAGTTGTTCTTTTCTAGGATCCCATGTTCCATTTGGTTGACATGCCCCTTAAATCCCTTCCAAACTATGACAGTTTTTCTATCTTTCATTTTCTTTTATGACCTTGACATTTTGAAAAATAATGATCAGTTATTTTATAGAATGTTCCTCAATTGGAGTTTGATATTTTCTCGTTATTAAATTGAAATTATGTATTTTGGGCAAGAATACCACAGAACTAGGAAATGGGTTGTGCCTTACTCAGTGCATCTTATCAAGGAGTTCTTGATGTATCAAGGGGTATATTTTACTGCTCGTTAATGATAAACCATGATCATCACTTTGTGGTACTGCTGGGTTCCTCCATTGTAAACTTATTGTTCTTCTCTTTGTAATTAAATATCTTGAGGAAGGTATGTTAGGATTATACAAATACCTCCTTTTTCTTTAAACTTTTGCCCATTAGTTTTAAAGAACCTACTGATGGATCTTCCCTGCAATAATTATTACTATGATGTTTACCTAATGAAGATTTTCTATTTGGGGGGAATTTTTTTTAATGCTACTAAATTTTCCAGAGATTCTGAGTAAGCATGGGGATGGGGGATGATATTTATTCATTCATTCATTCATTGATTCATTCATTGATCCATCTTTGATGCATCTTTGAAAATAGTTCAGATCTGTGTCTAGTTCTCTATTTGCTGAAGGTTGAATAGGAGGGTGACAGTGAAGTAGATAAACTCTTGAGGCCCCCTTTTTAATATTGCCCACTTGAGAGAAATATAAATCCTAAAGACACCTTCTAAGTTTTAAATTTAAATTTTATTTTTAGAGCTAACACATGAGTTTCTACAAATATTGGAGAAAACACCTAGTAGGTTGAAGAGGATTCGAAACTGGAGGGTAAGAGAATTGACAGGGTTTAATAGAATATCAGTTTGTGACTTAATCTAA